AGGCAACTAAATGCAATGCAAGCCCCTTAAATGCATCTTGGATCAAACACAAAACCAAGGATCTAGGGACAGTATTGGGACAATTGGGGAAATTTGAATAGGTACTATATATTAAAGAATAATATTATATCCATGTTAAATTTCTTGAGGCTGACAACTGAATTGCAATTATGTGGAAGAAAGTGTTTGTTCTTGGGAAATACATACCCGTATTTAGAGGGTAAAGTGTCCTGATGGTATCTATACCTAACTCGCAAGTGGTTCAGGGAGAAATGTGTCTACTAGTGCATAAAGCAAGCATAGCAAAACGTTAACAACTATGGAATCTAGGTAAGGAGTACAAAGGTATTATTACACTACTGTCGCAACTCTTCTGTAGGCTTATAATTTTTCAAAGAGTTGGGAAACAATACTTAAAAGTTATAGATTCAAGGGTGCCTGGCTGGCTCAAACAGAAGAGCACGCAACTCCTGATCTCGGGGTCGAGAGCTCAAGCCCCACGTGGGTGTAGAAATTACTTTTAAAAAAAAGTTATGGGGGCTCCGGGGTGGCTCAGTGGGTTAAAGCCTCTGCCTTTGGCTCAGGTCATGATCCCAGGGTCCTGGGATCGAGCCCCGCATAGGGTTCTCTGCTCAGCGGGAAGCCTGCCTCCCTTCCTCCCTCTCTGCTTGCCTCTCTGCCTACTTGTGTTCTCTGTCTGTCAAATAAATAAATAAAATCTTAAAAAAAAAAAAGTTATGGATTCAAAACAAAATCAACAGAAAATAGAGATAGGTACAAAGATGACTTAGCACCTGTATTAGAATTAACTGTTATCATCATAATTGCTTTTAGTATTTAAAGAAAACTTACGGTATCCCCTTTGCACCACCTCCACCCATTCTTACTGCCTTCCAGAAACTGTGAAATTATGAGGTAGGGTATGCCCATTTTCAACTTTACTAAATAACTGCAAATGTTGTCTCTCAAGGCAGCTGTACCAATTTAAACGCCTACATTGTTTAGAATCTGTCCTACATAGAAACTATCCCACAGCAGTTTCTAAATTACCATTTTCAGTGACATCTTCACTAACTTTGATACTGTCAGACATTAAAAATTTTTTTTTATCAATCTCATGTGAAAAACTCAGTGTCATTTATACCAACCTAGGATCACAAAGTAAAAGAATCTTAACAAAATAAGAACTTCATCCACAGACCCTTCCTTTTATCACATCACTGTTAAGACATTCAGGATAATCAAACCTACATGGCAACATGTACTAAGAATGATCAGTTCCCACGTGAAACCAAATGCCCATGAAAGCATGGCATAATGTTTGGGAAATAATTTGTCTTTTAAAAAACGTAAGATAAGGGGCGCCTGGGTGGCTCAGTGGGTTGAAGCCTCTGCCTTCGGCTCAGGTCATGATCCCAGGGTCCTGGGATCGAGCCCCACGTCAGGCTCTCTGCTCAGCGGGGAGCCTGCTTCCTCCTCTCTCTCGCTCTGCCTGCCTCTCTGCCTACTTGTGATCTCTATTTGTCAATAAATAAATAAAATCTTAAAAACAAAACAAAACAAAGCAAAAAAATGTAAGATGAAAAGGTTCAAATTCAACCGGCATACATAATACTATCTGTAAGACTTTTTTTTTTAAGATTTTATTTATTTATTGGACAGAGAGAGATCACAAGTGGGCAGAGAGGCAGGCAGAGAGAGAGGGGGAAGGAGGCTCCCCGCCAGGCAAAGAGCCCGTTGAGGGGCTCGATCCCAGGACCCTGAGATCATGACCTAAGCAGAAGGCACAGGATTAACCCACTGAGCCACCCAGGCACCCCTATCTGTAAGATTTTTAAAATAGATATTTTATTCCTAGAAATAAATAACCTAGGTCTTATAAATTAACTCATTTACTCATTCCTCATATATTTACTGAGTACCTGTTATGTGCCAGCCACTATTCCAGCACTGTGGCAAAGACAAAGTCACTATTCTCACAGACCTAACATTCTAATGGGGAGGCAAAAATTTTAAAAACTAATTTACAAATAATACGGTATGAGACAGATACATGCTATTAAAAAAAATAAAGGGGCAGGGAACAAAGAATGATAAGGGAGGCAGCATAAGGACACAGAAAGTACCAGGCAATATCTCTCCGTGGCACTGGTTTTGTCATATGGTGTGTTCAATTCAGAATAAACTATTTCAGCACCAATATCTTTTTTTTTTAAATTCAAGTGTATTTAATATTTGGATCTACAACATTATACTCCCAGAAGTAATAATAGAAACAGTTTACTCTTAAGATATTTCCACAAGCTATCTGACATAGTTTTTGAGGCAAATCCCCCTAAGAGCATAATAATCGCACCAGAATATTTAACTTGCCTTAAATTTCTACCAGCAGATTAACTAGAAAGATACTATGCTATTACAATATTCTGGCCATTAACAGACAAATGTTTACAGATATATGATTTTATATCTTGGAACCTACTTCTTAATGATCAAAACATAAAGCTATTAGCAAAACATTTTACTTAGAATGTCCAAGGCTGACAAGACCTTAGTCAACTAGGCAGTACCAATGATGAACACTGCCACTTACCAAGAACTTACTATGCACCTGACACTACACTAGGAGTTTTAGAACATTATCTTTAATTATTACATCAGCACCAGTATCTTTTCATAAAATACTCTTCTTCACTTTTCCATACCCTGCTTTATTTTTTCCAGGGGAAAAAAAAGTTTGCTGCAATGGTTTTCCCACTATTGCTATTATTTTAGAGGAAAAAAAATCTCACACAAGGTACTGACAGGTGTTTTACAAACAGTTGCAAATTTCAAGTCCCACACATTCTAAAGAAATGTCAACAGTGATCCATCAGTGAGAAGTCTGATGCTAAAATGAAGCTGAACTGTAAGAATTTAAAATTGAATTTCGAGAAAATGATTTACCAATTCTCCCAACTCTATCACCTGCATGTTTACTTTCTATCATATATGAAAAGAATAGCAGCAATAGGAAAATATATCTGAAGAGAGATCATGTGATTTTTACTTAAAGATTAAAAATAATTAGAATATCCCCCTCTTTGGCACCTGGGTGGCTCAGGTCATGATCCCCAGGTCCTGGGAACAACCCCCACACGGAGCCCCACTTCCGCCCAACTCCCTGCTCAAAGGGAAGTCTGCTTCTTCCTCTGCCCCTCCCCCAAACTCATTTTTGTCTCTCTCCCCCTCAGATGAATAAAATCTTAAAAAAAAAAAAAAAAGAGTATCTCTCTCTTTAAAAGTCACACTACCTATATGATTTGAAGAAAACCAGCACACATTAAAATTTCTTTTCACAGGCTTACACAAGAGCTTAGAAGGCTTCAACCACTTAGAACTAGGCGGTGCCTTCCTACAAACATCTAAGAGCCAAAGTATTCACTTCCCTTTTTTCCTCAGACTATTTTGCTGATTCCCCAGTACCCTGAATGAAGTATCTACAGTCTATCTTTCAAAATTATTACTCTGACTCAGCCAAATCTTCTTTTACTTCTGTGTACAAAATTCCCTCTTTATCTATACTATAATCCTATCTGCTTTGTCTTCTTTAAAAAAAAAAAAAAAGAGATTCAAATATCTTTCAGTCCAATTTATAGATCACCAAACACTTACTTCTACCTCAGGAGTTCTTCATCTTTTTTGTACCACGGATCTTTTTGGTAGTCTGATGAAGCCTATGGACTCTCAGATTTTGATTTTGATTTTATTGATTTGATTATAATCTCAACACCCAACGTGGGGCCTGAACTCACAGCCCTGAGATCAAGAGTTGCACACTCTACCAACTCAGCCAACCAGGCATCCCTCAGATTGCTTTTAAATAACTAAATATATGAAATCATGAAAGAAACCAATTATATGAAACTGTTATTTAAAAATCATGACTTGTTAATATGTGTGGCTTTATCATCACATTAAATAACAAGATCTAACAGTGTACCTAGTAATGCTATAAATTCAAAAAAATATATAAGCATAAATGATATTGAGAGATCTGCAAAAAGTGTAAACATGATACAAAAAATTTATAATTTTTATTGGTGACAAAGTCACAGGCATTGCTAATTCCACTGTGGTTTGTTGCCTACGTTCATAATTGAAAGAACTAAAAATTAGTTCCCAGGTAATAAAAATAGATGTGATTTTATCCCCATTCTAGTTCAAAAATCCCCTATAAAAATCCACCAAATGGTGAAATCCCAGGTTAAAATCCTTTCTAGTTCAAAGCTGTGCTCAAACTGACTTCTGTCACAAATTTTAAAATAAAAAAGATTCCTCCCTTGGCCTAGCTCTCATCTGAACATATCACCATGCCTGTTTTCCCACAGACTTATACACAGAACACTGTTTATTTCTATGGTTTGCCCAGCCAGCACCCATTTAAATTTGACAGTCAATAAAAGGTGAAGTTGAAGGAAAAGGAGATGGAAGCAACCACCAGTCTCTCAATTCCAAGACATTCAACAGCAGGTAGAAAGATGCCAAGTATACTGGGTGTGTGTTTTTCGAAGCTGGGCTGCCCCCAGACCCAGGAGTCCAGCTTGTCAGGAATCCCCGAAGCATGACACCTTCACCAGCGTCACTCAGAAGATATTCCACCTCCCTCTCGCCTCCTGTGCTCAGTTCTCCACCTGCCAGGTCGCTCGCCTGCGGCTCCCACCCGAAGCCGCCCCGCCGTTCTTCGGTCCGTTCCCATCCCATCCCCCACGCGTCCCTCCCTCCCGTCTCCCCAGGCCGCCCTGGCCCGCGGGCGCCGCCACATCTGTCCCCTGGGCGTAACCGTGTGTCCCCCTACCCTTACTTCCACCGACACGGGAGGGAAGGGCCCAGAGCCCAGGGGTCATCTGCACTGGGTGGCCCGGCCATTAGGCGCAGGTTGCGGCCCTAGGCCAGACCAGCCCGGCCGCCAGGCAGCGAGCCGCGCACTCCGCGCGACTTAACCGGAGACGCGCACTCACCACGGGGATCACACGAAGGAGGACACCCAGGTCTCGCCGCACCGCCACTCGGCCTCGGAACCGTCGCCGTCGCCGCGAACTGCCGCCGCCGCTGCCGCCGCCGCCGCCACTACTAGCTAGCTGGCTTCCCTGCGTCCTGCGGCGGCGCTGCCGCCACGCCATGGCGCGTGCGCAGCGCCGCGGGGGCCCCTGGGACTGGTGGTTCGCGCGGGCGGCCAAAGCGGCCCTCCGGTTTTAGCCCGCACGGTCGGCCACCGGCTGGAGCTTTCAGGGGCATCTGCGGTACCGCGAAGCACCTTCCGGAAAACCGTTCCTCAACTGACCCGCGACCTTGCTTCTGCACAGGTTGCTGCTGGCTGTGAAAAACACGCCTGTGCAAGTCCGTGTAAAGTAAAAGAATTTAGAACATTAACATCTTCGGTTACAAGTGTCTCTTGCCCCGGACACATGACTCGACTCACGCGCGCGCGCACGCACAGACACATCACCTCCACCTTTCTGTTAAAAGTTTTGCAAGTGGCCTTCAATGGTATCGGGATTTTCAGTCTTAAACTTGATTTCCCAGTCCTCGTTTTATCCTTTTACTTACTGTGAATTTGACCATACGGTTTTTTAAGTTGGCTGATTTATCTGATAAAATTTTATTTTACAAAAATAACTCAGGTATATTCAAACGTCAAGTTAACGGAGCTGAACAGTCATAGAAACTTTAGAATTGGAAGACACGTTATAGGTTATTAGTCTAACTCCTGCCCAGGCAGGAATTCGCTCTTGTACATTCCATGCAATGATCTTCCAACTTTCTCTCCTTTTTTTTTTTTTTTTTAAGATTTTATTTATTCATTTGAGAGAGAGAGAGCAGGAGCAGGGGCCAGAGGAAGAAAGAGAAATGGACTCCCCGCTGAGCCAGGAGCTGGACCTGGAGCTCCATCCCAGCCCCAGGAGATCATCATGACCCCACCAGAGCGCAGACACTTAACGTCTGAGCCACCCAGGCGCCCCCTCTTCCAACTTCTATTTCCACAGTTCCAATTTCAGGGAGCTATCTCAAGTGAGATAGCCCGCTCCACTGTTGGACAGCTCTAAAAGTTAGAAAGTTCTGCCTTGGGTGAAATCGGCTTCCCTTTTACCTCCTTCCAGTGCTAGAAGTTCTGATGTCTGGAACAATATACAATGTTTTCCATTTTACAGCCTTTCAAAAAACTGAAAACAACGATTATATCCTCCATCACTGGGACTCTCCAGACCAAAAAAAAAAAAAAAAAAAGTAATATTCAGTTTTCCAGCTATTTCAAATGTGAATCAGCTCCCACATTGCTTTCCATTTAGTCATCCTCCTTGATGTATTACACTTAAAAATTGTCAAAATTTGCTATTTATTGCCTCATTTTATTAGCATGATAGCATTCTACAGTTAGCTGGTCAGGTATTATGACTATCATATTGTCATTCAACTGGTTCAGGAATTCAGTTGAAAGACTACTTACAAGCTCTGTTTTAAAGCATTGCCCAAAGGACCATGAGGATAACTCACACAGATTAAGGATCATAATAATAAGCTAAGGTATAAAGATGGATTGCTAAGGAAGAACCCAGCCTGAGCAAAACCTGAACACATTCAAGGTTTGCTTTCACTTAACACTGAGTACTCTAGATGAGCTTGGAGCACACTTGCCATGGGAGAGAGGAAGAAAGGACCCTAAAAGTTGCAAAAAGCTCCTGAGGTTTGTAGAAAGAGCACTGGGATGGTCAATCATTCTGAACCCTACTCTGCCATCTGTAAATCAAGAGGTTGAACTAAAAGGCTTTCCATTTTTTCCCCCCACAGCACACCCCAGGAACACAACCCCCACATTAGAACAATGGATCACTACAACAGTAATTCTTTTTTTAAAAAAGGATTTTATTTATTTGAGAGACAGAAAGAGAGAGAGAGAGAGAGAGAGATGGTGAGCATGAGCGGGGGGAGGAGCCAAGGGAGAGGAAGCAGCAGATTTCTGGCTGAGCAGGGAGCGGGATATGGGGCCTGATCCCAGGACCCTGGGTTCATGACCTGACCCAAAGGCAGATATTTAACCGACTGAGCCACCCAGGTGCCTCTACAACAGTAATTCTTGTGGAATATGTGGCAGGTGGTATTCTCGACACCTTTTACGGATGGAGAAATGAACTCAAGAGGTGAACAGAAGCTCAAAATCAATAAAGTGACCTCGGAGGGCACAGAACCCCATCTTATTTACCACTGTCCCTCTGGAACCTGGCATACCACCTATGATGTAATACATATTTTTGTCCCTTTTTTTAATGAATGGGATGAATAAAGAGTGAACCCTGGCTAAAGCTCTTTCCACTACGCCTCTCAGCCTTCCCTGATACACACGGACATGAAGTTACATATCCGTAGTTACGAAATTCATAGTGATCTTGATTAGAGCTCTTTTTTTCAGATTTCTAACTCCATACTCTCCATAAAACTACTTTGCTGCAGAATCAGAGCGCATTGACAAACTCAGAATTTAAAAAAAAAAAAAAAAAAAGTTCCTGGGGTGCCTCGGTGGCTCTGTTGGTTGAGCATCTGCCTTTGGCTCACGTCATAGTCTCAGTGTCCTGGGATGGAGCCCCAAATCGAGCTCCCTGCTCAGTGGGATCTTCTTCTCCCTCTGCCCCTCCCCCCTGCTCATGCTCTCTCTCTTTCAAAATAAGTACAACTCTTTAAAAAAAAAATTCAATGCTAAAAGCTAACTGAACCATTATATTCACTAAATTTCTTTCCTAAAATTCATTTTCAAACAAGTAATACAGAAATTCTTGACCTTAAAAGATGTATACAATGAAGTCAAGAAAATCCTCTTGATTCCTGTCCAATTCCACCCAGAGGGAGCCACTCTTGTCAGTGGTAGGTATCTGTCTAGACCGTGGGGGAGGGGTTTAACACAAATAGGATCACGTTGTACATACCATTCTGTTCTTTTCATTTAAAAATAAATTGAGCTTCATTCCATATCACTACATAAAAATCTACCTCAGCTTTGAAACTTTGCACACTATTTCCATAGTATCACCTACCATAGTTGATCTGGCATCCCCTATTGAGTTTGACATTTAGGTTGACTGTACATTCTGAATAACAAAAAGATAAAATGTGAACTAACGATTTTTTTTTTTTAACATAGTTCAAAAAATATTTAAGGGAAAACTTTTTTTTTTTTTTTTTTTTTTTTTAAAGCTCTGGTAATCTGTAAAACAACAACAAAAAAATCCGGAAACACATGCAGGGAAGCTGTTTGGCACAGGTGGAAGATATTTATAAAATGCTTTTTGCCCTTTGAACAGCCCAGTTGCAAGCAAAGGACAAGATTACAAGCATAACCTTACTCCATATTCTGGGCCCTTGGTTGTCCTACACTGGCCCCCACTGGCAGGCTCAGAAATAGTAGCAGCATTCAGAGATGGAGATACTATGAAGCTGATGGAGATTATGATTTAGGGCTCCTCATTCACCTGGGGATTCTTCCAAGGCCCAGGCAATTCAGTCAATATGATTTTGTAACATTTGCTAAAGAATTTTTATTTATTGGCTAAGTTGAGGGCAACAGATAAAAGCCTGAAACTTGAGAATATTGAAAATGAGGAAAAAGACGCCTGTAGAACAGAGTCATAAATTAGGCAACTTGTACTTCAGCACAGTGAAATCTACTATAAACCTCATCCTTCCAAGGTGTCTTGGTGGCTTAGCTGGTAAGTGCCCGACTCTTGATCTCAGGGTCATGAGTTCAAGCCTTAACAAAACAAAGCAAAACAAAAAAATACTTTATCTTTCTATCAGTATCGGGCATGTCCAGACTGATGGGAGCTGTCATGTTAACACAACATCACATTTTGGTATATTACTTGTATTCGTTTTAACCTATGACTATAACGTATGAAATATCTTTATGTAATTATATCTTTTTTTAAAAGATTTTATTCATTCATTTGAGAGACAGTGAAAGCAATAGAGGTCATAGAGGGAGAAGCAGTCACCAGTAAGTGGAGAGCCCAACATGGGACTCGATCCCAGGACCCTGAGATCATGACCTGAGCTGAAGGCAGACCCTTTAGCAACTGAGCCACCCAGGCACCCCAATGTAATGTATCTTAAACTTATCTTTCACTGACCTTTGATGTTCTCTCGTATTACTTTTATTGTTTTAGGTATTTTGGAATTTATTGATTTGTATTTAAAATAAACTGTTGACAAAGATTCACCAGAAATAATCTGAACAAGCAGAAAAATACAGTTAATACTACTGAAACACTAAAATAATTCAAGGACACATGGTTTATCCAACAAAACAATGCCTCTTAAATGCTGTCATTGATACAAAAACTGACTGCTTCTTTAAACACAGTGGCATAATCAACAATATTCAATCACTTCTGTTTTTTTCCTGAATACATAAAAATTAAAATGCCAATTAAAAATGAATATATCTTCTCTTTAAATGTTTCCGACAAATACAATTTCAATATTTTCATCCAACAGTGGTGTGGTTGAAGAGATTTTTCATTCATAAGTTAAACAATCCACCCAAACAGAACTGATACTCTAGAGGCTCATAGCGCAAATAAAGACTTTAGGAATGCAGCAAATGACATTTCTAACAAACATACCAAACAGATAAAATTCTTAGAAGATACACGCAAGAAGCCCCTCTAAGCAGCTGGCCACAGAACTAGAACATTTAACCATTTTACTATTGATTTAAATGGGACTCTAGATGCTTCCAGAACTCTCATCTTGGGCTTTGTATTTTGCTTTTCCACTTTCACTAATGACACAAACATGATTCAAATCCCTGAAATATTCATTATAGTCAAGGGCATATCCTACAACAAACTTGTCTGGAATTTCAAATCCAACAAAGTCTGGTCTGTATCCAATACTTTGAGGAGTCCTTTTCACCAGCAAACTTGCAACCTTGACCATCTTTGGATTATACTGCTGGACCAAGGAAAGCAAGGTTTGCATTGTTTTGCCTGTTTCAATTATATCTTCAACAATCAAGACATTCTTTCCAGTTAAAGTTGAAAGATCATCTCCACCAATTACTTTTATGTCCCTTGTTGACTGGTCATTACAGTAGCTTTTCAGTCTAATAAAGTCTACAGTCATAGGAATGGATCTATCACTATTTCTGTTCAGTGCTTTAATGTAATCCAGCAGGTCAGCAAAGAATTTATATCCCCCCTTGAGCACACAGAGGGCTACGATGTGATGGCTTCCCATGTCCTTCATCACATCTCGCGCAAGCCGTTCCGTCCTGTCCATAATTAATCCATGAGGAATAAACACCTTTTCCAAATCCTGAGCGTAATGATTAGGTATACAAAATAAATCTAGGTCATAACCTGGTTCATCATCACTAATCACAATGCTGGGGCTTCGGGTTGCCATAACGGAGCTGGCTGGTGCGTGGACTGAGGGCAGTTCTCTTCTGTATTACTTTTAGTTTTAGTTCTTAAAGATTTTTCAAGCTCAGTAAATTCCTGATAGATAAACAGGGATTTTTTTTTAAATAACAAGAAAAGTAGACAAAAAAGTAACATACTTACAATTTACTCTTTGAAAATCATAGGTATCAATAATTTTAATAGCCACATTTCATCATCTTGAAGTAACATAATATATCATTTAAAAACAAAATTATTAATTTCCAATAAATATTAAATACTAAATTCATGCAATTTTTTAAAAAATTCTAGAATATAGAAATTGAGATTTAAGACCTTATAAAGCATATTTAAAAATAATGGCATAGTATTATCATACTGTTAAATAACTTACTTTTCTTACTTAACAAGATATAATAGGTTTGTTTTGCCAACTTGACAAGCTAATTCTAAAGTTTATATGGAAATACAAGTACCAAGAAAAGCAAAAGACACTCCTAAGGTGGAAGAACATGTTCTACTGGATATCAAGCTATAGTAATTAAGACAGAAGCTAATATGATAAATGGTAAAATTCTAAAGACTGGAACAATAAAGAAAAGTTAACTTTTTTATGGAAGAGGAATTAGGATCAGATGGGGTGAAAAAGTGAGGACTTCTTGGTGCTGACAACATTCTCTTAATTTGGACATTGAATACCTAGGGATTTATTTTATTGATTAAATTATAAAATTATTTTTATGTTTTTAATTCTATAATTATAGCATTTATTATATATGGTATAGCATATAATATTTAAAATTATAGATTATTAAATAACAAATATTATTAATGACTATTCATTAAACTGTATACTTGCATTTCATGTACTTTTCTGTATTCACATTGCAATTTATAATAAAAAAAAGTTAAGATATGTAAAACATCCAGCACATAGTAAATATCCAATTAAGGGTAGCTACTATTGCCATTAAAAAAAAAAAAAAAAAAAAGAGGCAGTGGATTTGTGACAATCTCCAAGAAATATAGCTAACTGGATGAAAACAGAACCATGTATGTAGCATTCTCCATCACTATTTTTAAATTAGGAATACACACACACATACACACACACACACACACACACACACACACTGCATATGAATATGAATAAAACCTCTCTAGGCTACACAAGAAAGTGGTGATGGTGGTTATCTTTACCAGTAGAGGAGTAAGGCTGGGATAGGGTGGCAGGCAGACTTATTTTCATTGTATATTATACATTGTACCCTTTGGATTTTGTACCACATACATAATTTCCTATTTCAATTTATTTTTAAGCATTTATTATTTAAGTAATCGCTACAGCTAACGTGGGGCTTGAAGTTGCACACTCCTCTGACTGAGCCAGGCAGACACCCCTATTTTAAAAATTTAGAGATTTAGGATACATATTGTCACTCAAATATCATTCAGGTTCTATAGAGGTAGCTCTTTATACTTAGTAGCTTATTTTACTTCAACAGAAAATTTAAAACAGAAGAAAAATTAAAATATTTTCTCTGTAAAATGAAAAGGCTTCAGTCAATCAAATACAGGCACGCCTGGGTGGCTCAGTTTGTTAAGCATCTACCTTCCGCTCAGGTCATGGTCCCAGGGTCCTGGGATGGAGCCCCACGTCGGGCTCCCTGCTCACAGGGGAGTCTGCTTCTCCCTCTGTCTCTCCCACCACTTGGCCTGCTTTCCCTCAAATAAAAATCTTAAAAAAAAAAAAAAAAAAAAAAATTAAAAATTTAAAAAAAACAATAAAATACCTTTATCATAACAACAGCCTTGTGAGGAAGCAAAATTGTATACATTTCACACACTACTGAACAGAGCCTCAGAGAGATTAAATGACTTGCCCTAATCATAGCTAGTTCGGTGATAGAACTATAACTAGTTTTTATGCTTCCAAACCTCATGTGCTTTTCTCTCAATCACACTATCTGACACAGCATGCCTTCCTAAATGTCTTCCACCAGGGGAGCGGGGGAAGTAAAGAAGATGCACTATTGAGACGCCTGGGTGGCTCAGTTGGTTAAGCGGCTGCCTCCGGCTCAGGTCATGATCCCAGCATCCTGGGATTGAGTCCCACATCAGGCTCCTTGCTCAGCAGGGAGCCTGCTTCTCCCTCTGCCTCTGCCTGCCACTCTGCCTGTGCTCACTCCGACAAATAAATAAATAAAATCTTAAAAAAAAAAAAAAGAAGAAGATGCACTATTTGTAGCTTCTCATTTGTGTGTGGGGAGGGTTCCCTATTAATCAGAAAATTCTCTTTTAAAAAGTCAAGGGTCACCTCTGTGGCTCAGTCGATTAAGCATCTGCCTTCAGCTCAGATCATGATCCCGGGTTCCTAAAAGCCCCTCGTTGGGCTCTCTGCTCAGTGGGGAGCCTGCTTCTCCCTCTCTCTCTGCAGCTCCCCCTGCTTGTGCTCCCTTTCTCTATCAAATAAATAAAACCCTTAAAAAAAAAAAAAGTCAAGACAAAGAAAACTAATTGCATAACACATTGCACTTTCAAAAGCGCACACACACACAAAAAAGCTACATGATTTATACCTAGTATTGTTCCTGGCTCAGGTGTCAGGAAGATACTTTTGTTTTACTCCTCACTTGTTTAATAAAAGTTAAGGCCCAGTCTCTCTTTTCTTTCTTTTTTTTTTTTAAGATTTTATTTTTTTAAAGTAACCTCTACACCCAGTGTGGGACTCCAAGATCTCACATTACAACCCCAAGATCAAGAGCTACATGCTCTACTGACTGAGCCAGCCAGGCACTCCTACAATCAGAGTTTTCTTGAAGTAAATGCTCTAAGAAAAGGGAAGTTCAGGGTTCTAAGGGCTGAGTCTCTTAATAAAAAAGACATCTATCTAACCATATAAGAGAGTAATTAGAGCACTTAAAAAATATTTCCAAAAATATGTCAAATTCAACATAATTACCATACATTATTTCCCATTGAAAGAAATCTTGAAAATTCATTCTCACGAGATGGGTTTCTTGAAGAGCTTCTAAAATTTCTTCTCATGGTATAGTCACATGATTAATAGCATTCCTATTACCCTACAACTTCCCACAGACTTTTATATACAGTATCTTATCTGATCCTTGAAACAAGCTGCTAAAGCCAACAGGACAGAAATCCCTGACATACAACAGATAAAAATACTGAGGCTCTGGTAGGTTTGTTCCCCAAGGTCATGTACCTTATCTTTTAGCTGAATATTCTCCCCAACAGAGGATGTGGAAAATTCTCAGTTATCAGGGTCTAAACATTCAATTTGTCAATTACATAAGTCTTTTCCTTTTCCTTCCTGTTGTATGCGTATAATTCCCTTTCAGAAAGGAAGATTTAAGAGCTAAATGACATCCAATCCTGATCAGTCCCAACTCTGCTTAGCTGAGATCAGATGGGAAATAGAAATCTATTTTCTTACCCATAAGAGCGTTAAGCCAAACGAGCTGGTTTAAATTACTGGATAAAACTCTACATTTGTAGACTTTTGTAGATTGTAGATTTTGATTTTGTAGATTGTAGATTTTGATGGGATACACTCATCAAAATATTTGTAAACTATGTAACTACTCTATACCCTAAATGAGATATAAATCTTATAAACCCAAAGCTCAGGATGATAATCTAAACCACAGAAATTAAAAATCAAATTGCCAAGGCTCAAATCCTGGCTCTCTATTTTAGCTGTGTAATCTCCTGGGCAAGTTTCTTTACCTCTTGGGGCTTCTTCACATTCCTTAGCTCTAAAATAAGGGTTTAAAAAATGCTTTCATAAAAGTTGAAAGATAAGCACATAAAGTGTTTAGCAAAGTGTCTAGTGCTTAGTTAAGTACTGATAATTTGGCACCAATACTATTATTGGCATTTAACATTCAGGAAACTAGATTTATCTATGCATTTTTCTATTCAATCCATAAAAGACCACACTTTGGGTTATACAGTAACATATACCTAATATACTTGGTTTTAAAAAGATATTACAACCACCAATATACTCATTCCCTTTGGGAGTTAGCCAGATATCACTTATCTAAATCTTAGGAACAAGAGTTGCAAAAGATTACGCCATCTATCAATGACAAGGCTGAAACTGAGAGCTTTGCTTTTAAGGGAAATAGATGTTACATATACAAAGTTTGTTTGAAATTATATGAAGCTGGAAAGTGGCTGGATGGTAATTTCTATCTTAATAATGGACTGATGCAAACTACAGAGGGTCAGTATTACGGCAGTATTACAAGCCCTGTTGTAAGATGGGTGATGCAACTTCAATAGTCAATCCTGAGTCACCAGCATAACCTTTGAGAAGCAGTGAAGGAGAAAGGAAAAATTCTTGAGTACTGACTCCTAAGCTGAACATCTTAGTAAACCCTGTGTAAGATGTTTCAGTCCTATTTGGACAAGGTATGATGAATACCATGAATCTCAAGAATACATTTAGTGGAAAAATACTGGAGTCATCAGTTCCTATGATAAAGTCCCATGCATTTTTGTAAGATCTCAAAATATTTTGTATCAGTCCATAGCAGGTCCTCCAAAAAGATTTGCTGAATGAACCATTAAAAAAAAAAAAAAAAAGAACAAAACTGAGAGCATTGGCTATGAAGCCAAGCGGACTTGGATATCAATTCTAAGTGCATCACTCACCAGCTCTATGACTTTAAGCTACTTATTTAATATTTCAGTCCCAATTTTCTCATCTGGAAAACGGGAAATTCAAGTATTAAACTGTAAGGGCCGAATGGCATAGGAAACCAAACAATGGTTGGCACATAGTAAGTCTACAGTAAATAGCAGCGTCTATTATTTTTTGCTACAGGTTGTTATACAAGAGTAAAGGCAATCTCAAAAAGTCTTTGTCTATCAAATGGGTTCAAGCACACTCTGACCTTTTCCAGGAAGAGTGAAGTTAGAAAGGTATCAAGAATAAAGGACGGGGAAGACCTTGCAAATGACAACCAAATGATAAATGATAATGATAATCGGGGCCACAAAGGAAAAAAAAAAAAAAGAAAAAGAAAAGAAAAAAAAGATGAGCAGAGAAGGAGAGCTAGAAAAATGGTACATCTCAAGGTGGGAGCGATGGCATTAGTAAGCTCTTCAGGAGAGGGCTGCCACACCGG